TTCAGCTACCCATAGGCCCCATAGTACAATTCCTTTAGTACATATTCCGGTTGCAGATATAGGACCTTCAGCTACCCATATAGGCCCCATAGTATAATCCCTTCTTGGGATTACCTAATAGGATCCTAAATATAAGCCACAAAACGGAACTACTATGGGGCCTATGGGTATCAGCTAGAAGTATCAGATTTCAGACAGAAGGGGCGCTCCTGTTTCGGAGCCGAGGCGCTGCCAGAAGATGAAGAAATCCCAAAGCTGCCCGGCAGTGATGGCACGGCCTTGGCCCCGAGGGCACTGGCCCTGGGGGTTCTGGCGGAGGTCCTGTAGCTGGCATTCGAAGCTGTGGAGGTCCCGCTGCAAGTCGCTCTGGTTAAGGGCCCTCTTCCTCCAGCAGAGAGTGGCCAAGGCAACCAAGGCTCCCAGCAGCATCATGAGAAGCTCCAGGTAGGTGGCGTAAAACCCGGGGCTCTGCTGCCACACATTAGCCATGTAGAGTACACCTGCGAGACAACCGCCGAAGAATTGCAGCCAGCAGAAGAACGGGACTCCGAACATACCGGTCATGCGGATGGAGTGGCATGGCCAGAAATGCACCGAACCGCAGGAGGTGTCGGCAGCTGTGAAGATGGGGGCGCCCTGCTTGTCACATAGCAGCAGCTGCCTCTCACTCAGAGACCTCACCGCGTAGCTTCCCTGGTCCAACCAAGGAACTTCGGTTTTTTGGAAGGAGACCATGGCAAGACGATCGGCAAGCAGCCAATGCCTCCCTGTGGCTGATATGGTGACCCCAGCTTGCTGCAAGCGCATGTCGGAAACCGGCATTGTATGGCAAAGCATCATGGGCAACGGAAGGAACAGAAGAATGGAGCACAGCATGACGCCGATGGCCACAGGGACATTGATGGTAGCGAAGTCGCAGGAGATGCGCGCGACATCCACGACAGAGCGGAAATGCGAACTGCGACATGCTGAGCAGGAGGCGCTACCCCAGTCCGAAGAGAAGTGTCCGGCATCACAAATCTGACACCTGTTGCTGTTGCCGCTTTGTGCCTTGAACCAGCCTGGAAAGCAGGGCTGACAAGTGAAGAGCTCTTCCAGGTAGTACTCCTGCCCTGCTGGACATTCGCCGTTCTCACAGCCCTCTCCCTCAAAGGGCTCCTTGCAAACACATGATCCGTTGCCTGTCACGGCCGAAAGCTGCAGGCGACTGCGTTCCGGGAATTCTCTGAGTGCGGCCGCGTCATCCCTGCAGTAGCCCCTCCGAGAGCAGACGAAGCCGTCCTCCGCGCCCGGGCACGCAAGACATTCCCGGGACAAAGAACCATCCGGGGGCCCGGAGTAGTAGTCCTCGCCACATCCGGAGCAATCCTTCAGGTCGTAGCGCAAGATGCAAGAACAGGTGTCGGTCTTACCCTTTGTGAAGCCGCGGGAAAGGCACCAATCGTGCCAGTTGCAATAGCCTCTGTTGAAGACCAACACCCCGGAGACGCCGCCGGTATGAACACCAGCCAGCAGGTCAGTATCACCGTCCTGGTCCCAGTCCACGGCATATGGCATCACAGCAAAGCGCGCCCTGACTCCGGCCAGAGGGTTTGAGGACCCGGTTAGTTCTGTGAAGGACTGGTTCGCCCATTGCTTGAAGAAGCGCACGCGCCCACGGCTGGTTCCGATCAAAAGATCCAGCGATCCGTCTCCGTCAAAGTCTGTGACCTCCAGTGCCTGGGACATCTTACAGACATGATTCAGCAAGAACGATCGCCCTGCTTTCTTCACACGGCTAAGCTGTCTTGTGTCTGGGCAGACGCATCTATGTCTACTTATACGTCCGTTGTCGTGCCAATCCGAACAAAAGCTCGGATCCGCGGGGAGAGGAACTGATTGCCTTTGGCCTCTAAAGCAAAGTCCAACATGGACCCAGTTGCACCGGGACCAACCTGCAAGCCGTTGAAGGGGCTCTCAATGCCAAGGTGTTCCTGCAGCGACCCATCCGCCAAGCGTTCGAAGTAGCGAACCTGACCAGCAGCACCTACGACGAGGAGATCCAGATCACCATCAGAGTCCCAATCCACAGCTCTTGGCACCACCACCATCTCACCATCCGGAAGAAAGGAGCGGAAAGGATTCTCTGGCCCTTTTCGCTCCTCCAGTCTGCCATCCTCCAGACGCTCAAAGTATCGCACTGAGCCATCGTATTCCCCATCCGCTGAGTGAAAGCCCGACAAGAGGAGATCTGTGTCACCGTCCCCATCCCAGTCCGCGGCGCGTGGAACGGCGATCAGATCCACCGAGATACCGTCGAAGGGATTTGCAGACCCATGGCGCTGTTGAAGTCCTGTAGCAGTAGCAACAGTGTCCAACGCCCTAGGCCCTATGCGCCTTAACCTGCATGTATAAGCACTGCACCACAATCTCGGGTCCTTGAGGTGTTCGCTCGTAGTAGGCAACCGTGCCATTACTACATCCAACCAGCAGATCAGTATCACCATCGCCGTCCCAATCCACTGCACATGGTACCTGTGGTCTTGTGTTTTCAGCTCTGGAACACGAAAAAGGACAACTGTTGCAGTTGCACGGCTTCGATACGGAGATAGACTGCCTCGCCTTCGCAAGGAGTCCACCCTACTACCGACTTGGTGAGCTTTCTGCTTGAAGAAACGTGTGGTAATTCACCCCATGCAAGCCTCCCTTCACTAACGACGTTTAACTGCAGGATGCAGGTTGCTGGAACATAGGACTTGAAGAATGCATCTGAAGCACCACAATAGGAGCCACGGTGCCAGGTAAGATAAGACGGTTGCAAATCTAACCGCAAAGCCCTAAACATCCCTAAACCCTAAACCTTTGAGCTTCCTGAACGTCTGCATGCACCGACCATCCACTCCTCCTAAACTCCATCACGGACCAGCAACCGCAAACGCGAGGATCCAAACTTTGGGGTTTGGTCTTTCGGTGCCATCAATCAAGCCGAACCCCGAACCCAAAACCCCCCATAAACCCCGTAACACCCGTATGCCCTGTCATCCTTTAACCCTAGAATCGCTGGAACTCCCACAGGGCACGTAGTAGTTTGTCGCGTTGTCTTTCTCCGCAGTGCCTTCTCAGGGACCCTCCTGAACCCTATCGTACAAAACCCACACCCCCAAAACATAACCCCATGGGTTTACACGGTCTAGAGCCCCCCAACCCTAAACCGCAAAACCGATAAGCCCCATATCCACGCTGTTCGGGTGGAGGAGTTACGATGTTCAATATACCCTAAGCCCTTGAAGGATTATCCCTAGAAGCATCCATAAGCCCTGATCCACCCCGTAAAGTTTGGTTTGGGGTTCCCGAAACCCTTGTCCTAAACCCTAAACCCCATAGTAGGGTTTATTAGGGTAGGGTTTAAGGGTCTATAGACCCCTAAACCCTACATCCGAAACCCTAATGTCCAAAACCCGATCAACTCCAGAAGTAGCCCTATAAACCCCGTATGTAAACCCTAAACCCTGCAAAGCCAATACCTAACCCTATATGCGTAAGCCCTATATACATCCTCCCCCATCCTTTGACCCTAGACCCTAAACCCCTTTTCCTTGTGCCTTTGGGTCCAATGGACTCTGCCTCGGCCACGAGCCGCACGCGCTCACGCGCGAAGAAGCGGAGACTGGAGTTCGATGCGACCTCGAGAGCTAATACTGACAGCAAGAGTAACCAACAAAGTTGAAAGTAATCACGCGAATAATCATATCACTAGTTATGATAGTAGAAGTTGAAGTCATAGTTGTAGTACAGTAGTCCTTGTCTAGTCTGGTCTATGTCTAGTAGAGGAGACCATGGTGCTTGCAGAACCAAAATGGCTCCTTCAGTTGTAAGAGCAATGATGATCATTATAATTCCAAACATGATGGGCTGCTAGGATGCCTTCAGGATCTAGAACCTATACGGTTGGCAAGTTTGATATCGGATTCACTGGTTCGCGGAACTGCAATCTGCATGGCGAGGAGGACGAGGAATGCGAGGATGGTGCGGAGAATTCAGAGGACTAGGACATTGTGCAAAGATGCTCGAGCCCCAACAATGCCCCTGCATCACTCCCGCATTGCCGAGTAGCGGGGCCGGCGATGATGTCTAAGTCGCCATCACGGTTCCAGTCCACGAACTTATATGAGTGGCGCAGGCAGAAGGGTTTAGTTGCCGGTTCAAGGCTGCCTACAGCTTGTGGTAAACAGACTTTAGAAGTGAGTTGTTTGACACCATGACAATGCACTGCATGATCTTAAGCCCTCGTAGTCGTAGTGCTGAGACACAGCGAGGGTCTGCAAATCGATCTCCTTCCGCTGGAGGTCATAGAACGGGTTTAGATGGCGCTCGCGCTGGACCAGCGTCCCCCGTGCGGTCCGGGTGAAGTACCGTAGGTTCTGACCGACGTACCTGCGATACGGATAACGACGAGCATGATCTAAACTGCTGGAAATACTGAAATCCGCAACATCACGGAGAACCACAACTAGAATCCAAAGCAACGCCTGCAGCGACGACAACACACTGACAATAACAAGAAGACGCATCATCGCAGCCGAAGCGACAGCGATACCGTCGACAACAACAATAACAGCCACAACAACAGCAACAACAGCAGCGGCAACCACTACAGCAACAACAGCAGCGGCGGCAGCAGCAGGAGCAACAACAACAATTACAGTCTGTACAAGTAGTAGTCGTCGTCGTAGTAGTTATCGTGGTAGTAGAGGGGTCTTGGCATCAATCACAACCTTGTTGCCAAGGCACATGAAATCTGCATCACCGTCTCCATCCCAGTCGGCAGCATAGATGTGACAGGGCTCCCGCTGCATTGGCGCCCGAAATCCTGCCAACCACATGTTCTGAATCCAGGTAAGGCGTTTGGCGGCGAGGCTATGCTCTTTTGACCGGAAGTGAGAGGTAGTAAAAAGTGATGACAAGGACAGTGGATGGCAAGGGTGACGTTCACGACAAGGAGAGACCAACCGAACAGTGAAGAGATGCCAATGATAACAACCAACAACTTCGCAACAACATCAGCATAATAATCTTTTATGTATAGGGACCGCAGCAAATCTTCAAGCAATCGCACAATTAGCAGTACGTAGTCGTCGTCGAAGTACCAGTGCAAGTGCTCTTTCAGCCTTATCCTGCCCCAAAGGCCCCGGCTGCTACGAGTGCCTGCGAAAGGATTCGATGTGCCCGTCATCTCCTTGAGCTCCCCCGTCTCCACACCTCAATGCTCCATCTGCGGTTTTTCCGTCTCTGCGTCGCTGTGAGTTTACAATGTCTGTCAGACGATGCCTACAAGGGCGGAGGGTGCCGCAAGGGCTGAGGCTTGAGAGCTTCAATCGTTATGAAGGTTCCAGCTTACCATGTTAAAAGATGGCACAAGGCAATAGCCTTCGCGACGACGCACTGCCACCTTGCTTAGTCGCCGTTGCTCATCCACCCTCCACCTTGTTGGATCTTGCTGCTTAGCCTGAACATGATGGTTCGCTACCACTCAGTATTCGATTTCGGATTGAGATGTTCGGGAGAAGGCGGAACCAACCAATGTAAGGGCCTTAATAATTGGAATAGGGCTTTGGGGCCCATTATGCTAACAATATCTATAATCAGGAAACCCAAAAATAGTATAGGTGATTATTGTAAGGCCCCTGTATCAGTCACACTCAGAATAAGCACGGCGCTGTGGCGCCAAGACAGGAGCTCCCCGACACAGACACATAGCCTTTACCCGAAAAGCCCAAACGATTAAAACCCGAAAGCTCAGGACCACTGTAGGAGCCTAAAGAATTACCAATACTATTTTGGGGGCTCCTCCTTACAAGTATAGTAAAGCATACCCCCATAACCCTGTTTTAACTATTAAAGCCCCTACTGTAAGCTAGAATAAGGAACCTCTTACATAGTTTTGGTAATTATTACCACCCCCTATATTATGCAGAGAGGGCGCGCTCGAAGAAGCGGAGCTTCACTCCCGGGTCCTCACCACAGGAGATGATATCCAGGTCCCCGTCCCCATCCCAGTCCACGGCACTGAAAGCGTAGGGCTCGGAGAGCTTCGAAAACCTGACTGCAGACGGTGTTTTGGTGCAATTTTGAGGTTTAGGGTTCAGAGACCCTGGGCCCTAAACCATTATGTACATTCTAGGTGTGGGTTTAGGATGTGACCAGTTGGATCCTTCGGATTTTGAGTTTTCTGTCGGGCGGAGGATTGGCATGGCGTTGTGGGACCGGGCTCTGACATTCAATGAAGCTTTTACTCAGCTGCCAAAGCATGTGGGTTTGGGGTGTAGGTACAGGCACAGGGCTGGATGAAAGTAGGCTGAGTGCGGATCGAGATGTACGGACATTCCCCTGTAGTTGTGCAGCTCTTTGCCACATCGATGCCGCCGGACCTACAGATCAGGCTGATCACGACCCAATGGTACTTCATATCTTGAAGAAATTAGCTGTTCACTCCTCAGCTCGGGTTTCGGAGGCCACAGCCAGAAGCCTAGGCAGTGTGCTTTTGGAAAGCTTCGATATACCTGGGTGGCTTCTAGCTCCAACCATCAGGGTGCTGAAATTAAGTCTCAACAGAAGACAGGTGCAAGAAAGGACAGGTTTCGTGAGACTGGCCAAGTTGCACAGGCCCCTGGTAGTGCAGGGAATGCTCGCTGAGCCGACTGTAGAAGTGCACCTGCCACTCTAGTGCTACACTGACACACACACACACACACGCCCTTCGAGGAACAACTGCGAATGTTGGCTCTACCACGGATTGCATGAGCCGTGCAATTCAGTCTTTGGAGCAACCTTCTGCTGTTTGCCTGCAACATCGGATACACAAAATCCTAGTGCATTAATCCGTCAAGGTCACAAGTGATGGACATGCTACAGCCCTGGTTTACCCGGACCCTCGTGGCAGAACAACAACCCACGAGTGGAAACCCGAGCCTGTCCATCGTCTGCACCCACAAGGAGATCCAGATCTCCATCCCCATCCCAGTCAACTAGCCGCGGAACTGAGTGTCCTGCGCGACGCCCCTCATCAAGCACAAAAACGGGACAATTTAACTGTAGGCTGTAGACACCTGTTTGGGCATGCACTCGTCAGTTCTGAATCATCCCGTGGCTGAGTGTTAAATGGTTGCGTGGGGACTTCTCATCCTATGCCTCGCTTTGTTGTCGACCTGAAAGATGGTCCAGGTTGCAAGACAAACTGCTTACACTTATCTTGGCACCAAGCCTCTACAAGCAAGCAGGAACGTGCAGGTGAAGAAGGGGAAGGCGATGGAGATGCGATGGTGACAATACTGGCGTGGTCATTGTTGATGCCGGTGGTCGGAATGATGATGATGATGGTGATGATGGTGCTGATTGTAGCACAATGCCATACTGCGTAACGGTGACGTTTTTATTCCTTGCAGCCCTAGCCATTCATTCAAGCCCTGCGCGACCACAGCACATTGCACCCCCCCCCCCCCCTTAGATAAGATACAAGCCCGAAACTTCTGAATCTGAAAGCCTCCGAACTCCCAAACCGAAAGCACTCCGAACCCAGCGCCCAAGGAGGACTGGAAACAAGGATCTATTTCCCTGGCTCCTGGCACCCGCACGGAGTGGAAGGAACTTTCCGGCCCGATCCGTTCCGTCAGAAGGCCTGATCCAAGGTTCTCGAAGTAGCGGAGAGTGCCGCCAGGAGCCCCCACCAGAATGTCGATATCCTGAGTTCGCACATGTGCGGAATTGAAGCTGCAGTTGGGCGCTAGAAAAGTTTCCAGTGATGGCATCAAGGAATTGAACGAAGGCTTACTTGCATGCTTTGGCAGCAGCAGAATCCAGAAAGTAGTGTGAAACCCGGCTTCTTCCAACAACCCAACCCTAAACCCCAAACCCTCCACCCCAAACTCCAGACCCTAAATCCAAAGAACCACCAAACTCAAGATCTCTGCGACATCTCCGCATTCCCCGCGATTTCAAAGCCAAGGGGCCCCATCTGAATCCCAGTCTGCTGCATCGTGGCTAGAGCCGGCGGGCAGCTGCACAGGGCTGAAGCCCTCTCTCTCCTGTGAGTCTTCTACTAATGTAGGGGCCTTAATAATTAGAACAGGGTTTTGGGAGAGAGAGAGAGAGAGATGTGTGTGTGTGTGTATATATATATATATGTATATTTATATGTTATGTATATTTGTTTACTTATGTTACATATACTATTATTACGATAAGGAACCCCCAACATAGTACAGGTAACGATTAATTAAGGCCCCTATACTATAAGGGCCGTATGAGGGTTCTACAGGGTCTAGAGCGTTTCTACACTATCAATTCCATCTAAGGCTTCCATAGTTTGTAAGGGTTTTATCGGGCTTCGCGAGATATTTTTTCATTGAGTGAAGGACGCCTAGACTTGGAAAGCAGCGTGACAGTAAGAGCAGCCATATACACGTTCAGGCTATTTGACTACCTATGCTGATGAAACTGCATTAAGCCACCAACTGGAGGTGCCGCTAAAGTCCAACATGGTAAGGCCGATGATGGCGCAACTGAAAGGATTATGAACACACAGATTCCAATGCATACTATGGTGATGATGCCTTGGAGGTTTACCATGCTGATCAATGACAACGATGATGGTATCCTCCTGGTCATGCTGCCATTGCAGCGACTCGTCAGTGTTTCCATTGGCATAGATTTGTTGATCAAATTCTGCATAGGCAGAGTCATTCGTGTGACACGAGAGTATCAGAGACAACACTGCTGAAGTGCATGATACGTGCAACTCGAACGCATGTTGGACTATCCGCCGGATGCTCAGCAAAGGTAGCTCCGCCTACCTTTATATCCCGGTTCGGCTGCTTATTTGTCTCAAGTTTGAGTCCATCCTAAGCCTGGTGCGACCATCTTACAGCCTTCCGAAGAATGGTCATACCGAGCGGCCACAAGCAGCACTTGGTTGCCGTAGCTGTGGCCAGGTAGCGGTGCACACCACGGTACATCTTCGCTGTCTGCAAAACGGCTGAGGACAAGGACCCAGAGCCACGGCAAAGCAAGGCTGCGCAGCCCAGCTGTCATGGGCCTGTCATGGGCCACGATGACAGCTCTGATCAGCTCTGTCTTAAATTACGGGGTGTGGAGGGAAATCCACTTGTCTAGCGATCCGTCTTCGACCCATCTTGCGCTTTCATTGGGGGCCTTACAGGGGTATACCATAGCGCAAAAGAAGCTGCGGGCGTGGATCGACAAGGCTTTCCGCCAAGAAACGACAACGTGACAATGATTTGCGTCGCCGGTTCAGCCTTCCAGTCCGTTTCCATGGCCGATGCGAGCAGACGCACCCGCTCGACTGGATTCTGAGGCCCATGCTGCAGATACCAATGTCATCGCAGGCGCGCAGTAGATTGGCCTAAGCTCTCTGCCGAAGAGAAGGCCATGCCAAGACGAGGGCTCCATAGCAGCACCAGCCAAGGTAAGACGGTCTGAGTCTCTTCACAAGAGCAACAACACCCTAGATAAGTTGTCGGCTGGGCATATGGCAGAAAGCAGTGAATTCCCTGGCATCTGTGCCCCAAAAGCATGCTATAGCGAGGTTCGGCAGCATCCCGGTAGTGCAGAAGATCTAAGCTTGCCGCCAACTTGTGGAAATGCGGTTTCGCCTGCCATGGGCTCGAGTTTCTACGTATACAGTGGTTTGGGAGCGGGGTTCCCAGCGCCATCATGCAGTATGGTTAAACCATTATTATTATCATTATTATCATTATTATTATGTTCTTCCAAAGCTCCTGACTTCACCGGCAAAGCGCACAGTCTCGCAGTCTGCGCCTCCACGCATGGACCGCACCAGTCTGCGTACACATCCAGGAAGACGTCCCTGTCACTGTCGATGACAAGCTCCTGCTGGCGGGCATACGTTGCACCATGTCTTCGGGAATAGTAATCAATGCGAGTTGTCATGTTACTCATTTAAACAGTTTTGTCTCATGTTTCGATCATACGCAAACTGCCAGGATGACAAAGCTTCTTGGAAGCCAGCAGCTCCCACGACTATCCAATCTTATGGTTGCCACCTCTTAAACCGACACATGAAAAATAATGGTCGCACTTTTCAAAACACGTCCAAAACCGGATATCGGTGTCAATGATCTGTCAACCACTGTTGTGAACCCAATCGAGAGAGCCAGAGTTCTCAAGCCCAGCAACCCCATTAGAAGGAGTGCTAGGGTTTAGGGTCTACCCAAAGGCCCATAGTAGTTCCTTTTCGGGATTACCTAATAGGATCCTAAACATAAGACACAAAAAGGAACTACTATGGGGCCTATGGGTACGAGTAGTTGGGAGTTTGGGGTTGAGGGACTCGTCTACTTGTTTTTACTTCGAAAGTCCGGGAGACGGCCTGGAAGGAGTCTGCCACCACCACGGTGAGGCCTGGATGATCCTGGTCCTTCAGGTGACACGTGCTTTAGGGTTTAGGGTTTAGTTTAGGGTATGCATGGTTGGCGTGAGATACTCGAGGATACCGAGATGCAATCTTGCTGTTTGCAACTAAACGTCGTTGCGTTCTCGTCGCGATGCCTGCTCTTATCGCCTGCATTGCCTACATGACAATACGTAGTAACTACTAACTAGTTTGATACTAGTACTCGTGTCGTTGCTGTATGGGTGTGGCCATTGTTTCAACATCAGGAAAGAGTCCAACGATACTTGTTTTCATAAGTTGTGATATGATTTTGATTGCGCGCGACTGAATCGTAACATCATTACAACTGATGAGCATGTCTCTCGTGTTGTGCAATAATGCAGCTCATGCTGCTGCCGCCTGCAGTGTTTCTGTTGCTGATGATGCGAGTGCTGTTGTAGCCGGTCTGGAAGTAGTGTCGGCGGTGGCTTTGGTGTGATGACCGGTGATGACTCTGGTAGTAGCAGTAGTTAAACACTGTCCAAGAGATAATCGGAGGTAAAAGCGAGAGTAGCCCAGAATTTATCTTCAACAATAGTCACAGTGACAACAATGGCAGTAGGTGTAGTGGCAGTAGCAGCAGCAGCAGCAGCAGCAGCAGCAGCAGCAGCAGCAGCAGCAGCGGCAGCAGCAGCAACAGCAAAACCAATACATACCAAAGAGACAGTAGGGGAAGAAGGAGCAGTAGAAGCATTCGTGGTGGTAGCAGTCGCAAAGAAGCGCTAACCGGAGAAGAAACACTAGTAGTACTGGTGGTGGTGGTGGTGGTGGTGGTAGTAATAGCAGCAGCTGCAGTAACCGTAGCAGTCGTAGTCGCAGTCGAAGTCGTCGTATTCCCCGTCGTCGTCGTAGCAGTGGTAGTAGTAGCAGTAGTAGCAGCAGCAGTAGTAGGAGTAGTAGTAGTAGTAGTAGCAGTAGTAGTAGAAGCTTCACCGGACCTTCTGAAATATAGATTACACACACAGACACCTGATGGAAGCTCCGAAAGCCCTTAAACACCAGAGCCCCAAGCCCTAAACCCTCTAACGCTATTGACCCTAGCGCCCCAGACCCCTAAAACCTTCACCCTAACCCTACAGGGAGTCTTCGCGATTTCCGGGGCCTTGTCATCCTTGGGTCTCGGTGCGCTGCTGGGCTTCGGGGCACCGCAGCTTGAGCAAACCAGCTTCTCCATGCGCCTTCAACCAAGTTGTGATTCATCTGAGTAGAAACAATACATGTACATATATATATATATATATATGTATATATGCATACATATTCTGCTTAGTCTTACTGTTGTTTCCATGACTACTAAAACCGACATGTTATCCTTATCTCAAGTGTTACCACTGTTGCATGTCAGGTTCCCGAGAGAAGGGCTCGCAGGGTGTTTTCATCGTGATATGATGCACTTAAACACAATTGGTTACTCAAGTGTTCGTGTAAGCGTGTCAACACCTTTAGCCACGGCCGAGATGTGTTACACGTGGAACAAGAAATGTTAATGTCAATGCTACTGAGCATCTAGGCCCACAATCAACCGAACCCAACATCCTGAATCCTACACCCCAAGCCACAAAAAACCTAAACCCGTGAGGCCCTAATCCATGACCCTGAAACTTCCAAGCCCAAACCCTAAAGACTAACCCAGCTCATGTCAACTCATAAAACTCAGACCCTAAGACCCATAGACCATCAACACTACCCGAGACCCGATCCCACAACCTTAACCCCTCCCAGCCCTGAGCTGTGAAGCCATCTGCCCTCTTGACACAACTGAGGCTGGAGCTTGCCGGGAGGATTGTGGTGCTTGCACTTCTTGCATTTCCAGACTCCTCGGGGTACCTCGGAAGTTCAGTCGAGATATGATATGAACCCTAGTGATTCCTCATGGTTATGGTCAGGGTATGTTAGGGTTAAACACGAATACACGAATGATACAACTTTGTCGGACGAACGAAGGGGTTCTGGATTCAGTGAACCCCTATAGTAACCCGTAAAGTACCCCCTTGTAGTAACCCATCAGGGATATGATTGAGGATGTTGACTTCGTCCTTCAGGAACGGAGTGCCGGAAAACACTCACACGAGGAGCAAACAATCAAATATAGGAAGATCCACTTTGAATCTCGGTGGCGATTGCAAAACTGATGTTGGCAACCCTTTCTTCGCAGCGTTTTTCACATCTCCTGAATTCGGGTTTTGCACACTGTCATCGGGTCATCAAGGAGCATCGGCACTTGCTTCAATCCATAAAGTTGCAGGAGGAACTTGGCCACTTCTTGGACTTACTCCAAGATCTGTTGCCCGAGATCTTGGTCTACTCGTCTTGCTCCTCCTCATCTTGCTGGCGGTGTCCCCAAGCATCCTTCGTCCAGGAGCTGGAGGACCAGGCTCTGCGGCCTCACCGTCAGATTCGGAATGCTCTGGCGATCTTTGGCATGGCGGGGTTCGTGTCTCTTGACTGTCCGGAGTGTGTGGAATGTGCAAAGAAGCAAGAAACTCTTTGAGCTCCTCAACTTGCTTCTCCAAGTCTTGTACTTTCATCGTTTGTGTCTTCAGCTGGTCGTGCAGCTCGGTGATCAAACAGCCACGTTGTTCTTGATCTCGCCACATTGAAACCATCTCATCCTTCAGACTGTCCATCATGCCTGCGATGCGCTCTGCCAACATTGTCAGCACAGTGCGGCCGCAACGGCATTTTTAGCAAAGCTGTGGGCCAAAAGGGCCTCGAGACATGGTAACTGCAATATGCTAGCATTTGCAAGGCTACTGGTTGTCTCTCATCGATGTCGAGACAACGCCTGCAACCGAGACCCTTGCCCCCCTGGAAACCACGACCAGGATCCGAAAGAGCCTAAACTAAGCCAATAAACCTCCAGACCCACATGGGCCTGGAGGCCTGGACTTTGGTGCACTTTACCGAGCTTGCGGCCTGTGCCTCGTGCACTTCCTCCGTATCCAGGACCCTGCAGCAAAGCTCCTGAAGTGATGCTCAGGGTTTAGTGGTTTTGGTTTTAGGGCAGGGCTTTCGGGGTGTAGGCTTTATGCAAAATGTTGCCTGGCAGTATACCGTAGACTGCAGCAAGAGCGACGCACAATGATGGCAAATCAGGAATGAAGAACAAAAGCAATAATGCACAGGAGTCTGTAACACAGAACAACCTCTACTGTTACACCACATGGCCAGGTCAATATGTATGTATAGATATATATAAGAATGTATATATGAATATATATATATATATACATATATATATATTTACATATATACGTATATACATATATACATATATACGCACATATACAGACATACTGACATACAGACATGTGTGTATATATATATATACGCACCCACGCATATACAGACGCATAGTGATCCAACAAGTTGTTTGTCTATGTCACGGACAGACAAGGGTCAAAATATTTTCGGCTCCTTTGCATCTGCAGATTGTGCGAAAGCAGAATGCGCACGCGCACTCTCTCGCTCTCTTCTCTTGGTGTCCCAGTCGTTTTTCGTCCCAGTTTCCTGCTCCCTCTCCGAAGGCGGTACGCATGTAGCATTTTTTGGAGGTTCTGGCGTGCTGCCTTCTTGCAGATCTTGTGTGGGCTTGAGGACGACATTCTCACGGTTGTTGATTGTCTCCAAGGTGGACTTGTTTTCAGAACGATTGCAAGTGCTCGGAATCTTGGCATGGTGTAGCCCTACCCACAGGGAGCTGCCGCACCCTTGCAGTCCCTGCACACCGCTGGCCGGGTGTGGGGCCCGGTCGAACGCCCCGCCCGGCTAGGGCTAGTTAAATGCTATAAT